GATACAGGGGTGTTTCCATTAGAAGTGGGCCACACTGTATATGAGACTCAATGACATGATGTATCGCAAGGTGAATTTATTTTGAAAATTTTTCAAAATATGTGAGCTCCCACCATACAGCATCTTTCAAATTATATTGAACGTCCAGCAACATCGCAGAAGTCATTGATAGTTATGGTGCTTGTGATCTCGCCGAAAGCAAACGCTTGGGTTGGGCTATTAACCTCTGATTAATGATTTACCTCGTGATTTACAAAAGTTTCAGGCAATTTTTGAAGACCAATATCTTCCAAAATATTTGTTTTTCGACAAGAATGTATGCTTTCATTTCGTTTTGTTTTTTCGTCTCCTATCATCCATTTCATTGATCGCCCCAATTTAGGAAACACCCATGTATTAATTTATTTATTTCAAGTTCAAATTATTTGAGTTGTCGTTCAAAGAATAAAAGGGAGAGGGACATTAAAGAAAAGCACTGTATATACTTATTTCAATGTTGTTGGATATTGTAGTATATGATAGATAGATGATTAACAGAATGTTGCATTAATATACAACAAATGTTTTCAACAAATTCATTGAAATCTCCAAGGTTATATTTTTTTAAGATAGTCACTGAAAATTATTTTTATTAAGACCAAGAGTTCTTATCTCACTACTAGGAATAAATGTTTGAATATTATAGTTGTGATTGTAATTCTTCTTTTTTGTGTGTTTATTTGTCTATACTGTAATTCACATTTTTGATTAATAATTTCTTTATAATATGTCTATATCATGCCCGTATGACCAATATGTGTATTTGATGTTTTATAAACTTATTGACGAATGTTGAAAGTGTAAAAACATGAATAAATATCTATCTGTCTATATATGAAAGATATCAATATTAAAAAAATTATTCTTTATTCCAATGAGGTCAGAAATTTTGTGGAAACAATAAGAAGTGTGAAGTCAACTGGTCACATGCACAATCCCCAACTCTTATGTCCAAACAAGCTTCCAATGCTTTGAAATTGATGAAATGGGGTGAATTTTTATTCAGCGGGCATCAAGAAGGACTGACAGCAGATATAACAAGAGCTTATGTTTGTGGTTGGCTTTATTCATGACAATACTGACACCATTAAGAGTAGTGATGTAACGCAGATGCATCAACATGATGTTCAACCAATTAGAGGTTGAGTTCACAAATAACTACCATAATGTTGCTTCAACATTGGTGGAGGTTTTTAGGTTGATAACTTGGAATGAAATCTCCCATTGAAACATCACAAACTTCTGTATAATAACAATGTTCATAGATAAGAAATAAATGCAGAAGTTCATAATATCTCTATACAATCATCGTTAGATTCAAAAGTAGTTATGGCCGTGCAACAAACTAACCAAACTATTCTACTGAGAATGGTTCCTGTGAGTATTCATGGACCCACTGATGTTGTACACACTTTTGGTCTCTGTGATGAAGGATCCACAGTTAGTCTGTTGGATAATGAAATTGCCAAGAAACTGAGATTGAGAGGTAAGAAGAACCCCTTTGTATTGAATGAACTGGGGATATATCAACCAAGTTAGAGTACTCAGAATATCTAGATCTGAATATTTCTGGTGAAACAGGTATCAAAATAATGGTATTGAAAAATGTTCATACAACTGAGAATATTTCTTTGTCATTGCAAACTATTCAGATGAAAGATTGGCTAGATTGTCCACTAATCTTCCAATTAGAGACTTCTCGAATTGAAGGCCAATGTTGCTAATAGGCCAGAATAATATTGATCTCATTGTTCCCAGACAATTTAGAACTGATGCAGATAACAGAAAAGACTCAGCGATTGTCGATGCGATTGTTACAAAATGTCACTAGGTTGGCCACTTCATGGTAGAAATGAAAAAGAACGGCATGACAAAATGGTAGAAACCATTCACCTTTGTGAAAAGGGAATGAAGACGAGAACCTGCACGACATAGTGAAGGATCAATTTTCTCTTGAAGCCTTTGGAGTGTTGCCAGTGAAGAATAAGCTCAGCAAGAACCTGCATGACATAGGTAGTGAAGAATTATTTTTCTCTTTAAGCCTTTGGAGTGCTACCAGTGAAGAATAAGCTCAGCATAGCAGAGAGTGAAGCCCTAAATATTATTGAAAACAAGGGTTGGAGGCAGGTTTGAAATATGTCTAATTTGGAAAAATGAAAATAATAAATTGCTGGAAATGAAAACTAAAGCAAATCAAAGATAGGAATGTATGGAGAGGAAGTGTGGCAGAAATAAAGAATTTGCAAGAGTATCCTGTTCAAATATAGCAAGTTATTAAGAAAGAGGATACTTGAAGAAGCCCATACTTGAAGAAGCTGATACTTGAAGAAGCAGATACTTGAAGAAGCCTACACCAGAAGAAGCACAGATTAAACCACCACATCCTTGGTATTTACTACACTTTGCTGCTACATCTAATAGAAATAAAGCAGGAAAGATATGCTTGGTATTTGATACAGCAACCAAGTCACTGTAAGTCTTTATGATAAGCTTATGGCTGGACCAGACTCACTACAATCATTTCCTTCCGTTATCATTTAGTTTTGTCAATGAAAATATGGTTTCACAGGAGTGTTAGACAGATGTTCTACCAGGTGATGATCAGACAAGACAACCGGTGTGCTCAAAGACTATTGTGGAGGAACCTGAATACTGTAATAGAACCTGAAGCTTGAAGATTATTGTGGAGGAACCTGAATACTGCAGTAGAACCTGAGTTTATAAAATGAAAGTCATGACCTAGTGAAGGAACCTGAATACTGCAATAGAACCTTCAAGTCATGACCTTCAGAGCAATTTGTTCTCCTGCATGTGTGTAATTTATAAAAAAAATTAATGCAGAATAGTGAAACACCAGAAAATCAGAGCTATGGAAATAAAAAGTGTAATGTCATTAGCTGGATTTAATGTGTCAACTAACTCAGCAGATTCAACGAACAATGAAGATATTTTAGACAGAAAGTGTTGGCATTTGGTGGAACTAGGTAGATGACGTCATTTGCTTCAAACTGATACTTGATGAAATGGATAATGAGATAAAACAAAAAAATTTTTAGGATTGTCATGTAAATTTTTGATCCTTCAGACTTCCTATCATTAGGGTTACATGTGGTAGAACTAATTTCAAAATGATGCAAACCCTTCGAAATAAGATTATTAAAATTCTTTTCAATATTCATAATAAAACACCTACAGAAGAAGTTTACATTCAAACCAAAATTGCTCAAATAAATAAAATATTGGTTCTGGAACAATGCAAATACATCTACAAAATCACAAACAACCAACAGAAATGCAATGTTCATCTTGATCATATCTACCAAATTCACTCTCATGACACACAAAACAGGATTAACATTCACTTGGGCAATGCTAGAACTGAACTAGGACGGAACAATTCAATGAACAGAAGTATAGAATCATAGAACACATTACCAATGACAATAAAAAATATAGACACCTTTACCTTATTTCACCAAGAACTGAAACAGCACTTGGAAATGTAACTTAATATAATTTAGATTTAGGCCTCATTGGTATCCTCATATTACTGTTATTGTTCACCATTGTTACCTATTACTAATAGTCTTCTTATTCTTATTATCTTAATTTTGATATTCTACATTATTGTAATATTTTATTTGGAGCATCTACATTATTGTTATTGTTAATTAGTAGATGTAAATGATGATAATAATCACTTAAATGTAAGTTTAATGTTGATACAGTAGTAAACTGTTAGTGTACATGTATTGCATTGAGATTACACAATTAATATTTCCATTCATGTTATGTAATAATATTATTATTCCTATACCAGCAAGCACAAATTGCTGTTTAGGAATTATGTTGGATCACTGGGCAGTATATTATTATTTAAACTAGGCTATACATATGTTAAATTGTATTATAAAAAAATGTGATAAACATTAAGGTGATTAAAAAAAAATATCATGAGTGCAAAGATTATTTTGCATAAACTGGGATAAAAATATTCCATCCAATTTGATTTGGTTTGGATGGAATGGAAAGAGGAGCTGGGGGCTATTGTGAGAATAAAAATCCAAAGGTGAACTACACATATTTTGCGATCCTATTTGCCAGTGGGAATGATAGAATCTATACAGTTTTGGTGATGGCAAAGACAAGAGTAACCTGCTGACACTACTTTCTATAGCTGCAGGCAGCTGTATTGGCTGAGAGATTAGCAAAAATGCTAAAACAAGAAATATAAATTGATATAGAAAAGACATTCTTGTGGTCTGAATCCTCCTGTGTTCTTAAATGGATAAGAAGAGATGGAGGTGTGTAAAAACCTTTTGTACCACATATCCTATCTGAGATAGGCACTAACTCCTACTGAAATAAACATACCCAATATTGCCATGCAACAACACATGAACAATAAAACCAGTATTGCTTCTACAATTTGGTTGAACAGACCCTCATTTTTTAAAGACCCAGTAAAAAAATTACCAGAAAAAGTGAGAATTTCAAAATTGCCTGAAGGAAAAAAGAGGTAATTATGATTCACAAGACTGATTGATATGATATCAAAACTCCATCATCCATAGAATGGTTAGGCTCTGGATTTCATTGCCTGAGGAAGTATTCCCAACAACATATAATCTCCAGAAGTTCAAAAAAAATTCCAATACCTACCTACTGTCCCTATCCTCCCTAGGAACTCATGATGTTCTTTGAACATTATAGGGATTTCTTTTCATAAGCTCCAAGCAAAAAGAAAAATAGGAATAGGAATATGCAGTGGCAGCATTGATATGAAGTATTTGGAACAGGCATGTCTCTGTAAAAGTACATACATGTTCCAAACTAAATTATTGAGTAAACTTGAATCAAAATGTGAATAATAAGATTGTCTGGTTGAATAGGTAGGTTGGGGTAAGTTAATCTGATAAACAGAATAATAAGATATGCAAATCACCAAGCAAATCACTTACTGATATTGATCCTGTGGCAGTAGAAATTATCAGCTGATCAAATATTGATAAATTATTGCTAATATATACATTGACAGCTTCCTTGGTCTTACAATTTTCTACTTGAAGTGTTATTCCCACTGCTAAACAGGCTAGTTTGCTAATGAATTTCCGGACATTTTTTGTATCTGGCAAAATTTGAGCCAATAAGAATAATCCAAGAAGTAATATTGCTCTGAGTGAAAGTATTATTATTCCCAAAGGAATATACAATACACATAATAACAAACTGATATCATTGTCTGACAACCTGAAAAATATTCAAAAGGAGTGAACAATTCAATATAAATAATACACTAACAAACCTGTTATTCAAAAGGTGTTTGATTTCAATGGCTGGCATATTTTATTGTACTTTTTTAAGAAATTTTCTCTGAAGCAATATGTTTGAACAAATCAACATCACTACTATGTAGTTGTCTATTATATTTTTGATGTAGGTACCACCTTACTATGATTCGTGTCTATTGAAACAGTTCTCACATTAATACATAATTCAATAATCCCAAAGATCTAATAATATAACCAAATTCAAAAGAATTAGCCCAACTTTGCAATTTTACTGTCAAATCCTCATATTCCTCAAAAAAATAAAAACGTCAAATCGTCAAGCTGGCAAGTGACAAGTAACTAAGGCCACGGCTTGGGCCACGGACTGGGCCACGGGCCACGGATACTCTCCTTGAAACAAATGTAAACTAGAGTCACTGGATGGTATTAGTTTGATAAGAGTTCGGACCTTACTTGAAAGGCATCAGATTGACGTCACATTTTAAGAGTTTAGGCGTTTTCGGAAACTATCTCTGGCAATTCTGCATCGCTGATGTAGAAAGACCTATGTTGGGTGCAGATTTTTTCAAATATTACGGGTTACTGGTTGACCTCAGAAAACGTCGTGTCGTAGACACCTCCACTAGATATCCTGCTCACGGACAGTTACAACCAGTTACTTCAAGAGTATCAACCGTTACTTGCCAGGGAAGGTTCCACCGTCTCTTAGCGAAGTTTTCAGAGCTCACAGCTCCTCGCCAAAACTCGATGCGAGCTAGACATTCGGTGAAGCACCACATCGTAACAACAGGGCCGCCTGTAGTTGGAAGGCCACGAAGACTCGCACCAGATAAGTTGAAAGTTGCTAAGGCAGAGTTCTACTTGATGGTCATGCTTGGCATTTTCAGACCGTCAAAAAGCAAGCTTGCCAGTCCTCTTCACCTTGTACCCAAGAAGACCGGAGATTGGAGGCCTTGCGGCGACTATCGTAGACTAAACGCTGCTACCGTTCCAGATAGATATCCGATAGTGCTATCGATTTGGTGAGAGCATATCATCAAATACCCCAAATATGGTTTGTTTGAATTTCCAGTGATGACGTTTGGTCTCCGAAACGCATCAGCGCAGACATTCCTGCGATTTATGGACGAGGTTATCATCAAAGGCTCGAATTTTGTAAATTGCTATATCGATGACCTTATCATCGCTTCGAAGGATGAACAGGAACATTTTCCGCACCTGCAGATTGTTTTTCAGCGCTTACAAAGTTATGACCTATCTATAAATGTCGCCAAGTGCCATTTGGGGAAGTCAGAAGTCGACTGACTACTTGGGTCATCGTATCAGTGCTAATAGGATCAAACCTATGCCGGGTAAAGTTAAAGCATGCAATTATCGATTTCAAAAAACCTGAGACTGTATCGGAACTAAGGCGTTTTCTAGGCATGATGAATTTTTATCGCCTTTTCATCAAGAATGCTTCGCGAATTCAAGCACCTCTTCATGAATATATGAATGGTGCAAAAAAGTCGGACAAAGGACCTATTGTTTGGAATTCATTAGCTGAGCAAGCTTTTGGAAAGTGTAAGCAAGTTTTAGCAGAAATGACATTACTGGCTCACCCATTAGAAAATGCAGAGTTGATACTTTATACGGATGCTTCTGATATGGCTATCGGCTCAGTTTTGAAACAGCATGGTTCTGGCAACAAACAGCCACTTGGTTTCTACTCAAGGAAATTGCATGGGGCCAAACTTCGCTACAGTGCCTATGACAGAGAGCTGCTTGCGATCTACGAGAGTATCAAGCATTTCAAGCACATGTTGGAAGCTCGAGATTTCGAAAGCCGGACCGACCACAAACCCCTCGTATACGCTTTTTCACAAAGAGCCAAAACAAAGTATCACCTAGACAAAGTAGGCAACTGGATTATATTTCCCAGTATAGCACAAATATACAACATATTCGCTGATACATTATCACGAATACAAACCATAAACATACCAATTCAGAAGAGTTGGCCAGGGAACAAGAAAAAGATTAGGAGTTGCAAGCACTTTTGGAATCGGATTCGGCTTTGAAGTTGCAGAAAGTTCGTCTCGAGAGTTTTCCACATACCATCTATTGTGATTTATTTACAGGTTCAGCTCGTCTGTATATTCCAAAACTTCTGCGTCAACGAATTTTCGACATGATACATGGTTTGTCCCATCCAAGCAAACGGGTGTCAAGCGAGTTAGTGAGACAAAGGTTTGTGTGGCCGAATATGAAAAAAGACATCAGTAATTGGGTGAGAGCTTGTCTTTCTTGTCAGCTCAGCAAGGTCAGTAGGCACGTGAAGAAATCGGATATGCACACTCCAGTACCTAGTGAACGATTTCAGCATGTCCATTTGGACATTGTTGGCCCCTTGCCTCCTTCTTACTTACTGACGATGATTGCCTCCTTCTTACTTACTGACGATGATTGATCGCTTCACACGTTGGCCTGAAGCCATTCCCTTGAAGGACATCACGGCAGATACAGTGGCTTCAGTATTTTATAAGTCCTGGGTTTGTCGATTTGGTTTCCCGCAGACGGTCACCACGGATCAAGGCTGCCAGTTCGAAGCTCGACTGTTTGCGGCATTAACAGATTTAGTAGGGTGTAACAGAGCACGGGCTGCAGCTTACCATCCTCAAACAAATGGTATTGTGGAACGTTTTCATCGTTCTTTGAAGTCAGCTTTACGGTGTCACGCAAGCGAGGAATGGATAGACGTTCTGGACACGGTGCTGCTTGGTTTGAGATCGGCGATAAAAGAAGATCTGCAGTGTTCAACAGCAGAACTTGTATGTGGCACGACAATCAAAGTTCCAGGGTAATTTGTGTTTGCTGATTTGGATCGTCCGGAAGCTCACATTTTGTTGGAAAAATTCAGGAAGTGCATGCAACGGTTGAGACCGACTCCATCGGCCCCCCATAGGAAATTGAGCACTTTTGTATATAAAGACCTTCATTCATGTTCGCATGTGTTTATACGAGTAGACTCTACACGTAAGCCATTAGAACACCCTTATGAAGGGCCTTTCAAAGTAGTCACCAGACTCCCTGACAGAGTTTTCACCATACGTGTGAAAGATAAGAATGTCAATGTTTCTATTGAAAGACTGAAACCAGCATACTCCCTCAATGAGGAATGCTTAGAAGAGCAGGTTGATCAGACTCGAGTTTCAGAACAAAATTTGCCGATATCTTCGATACGTACCTACAGCAGAAACCCAGCGAAATATGGATCTGATAGACAGTCTGAAGATATTCCTCCTAGCACAACCACAGGCACGACGAGGGTGGATATTCATCCTGTTTGTTTCGCGTCCTCACTTGGCAGTCCGCTCTAGGGGAGCATTGTAGCGGAAGCGGAAACACCCTCTGACGTCGAGTTGGGCTATATTCCGAATTCAACTGACAGTACTGAATCTGCTGATTTTTCATTCCGAAATCAAAAAAATCACTGAAATGTGACAGATGCTTGTGAGCAGATATACTATTCATTCCAAATATTTCGACTCAACATTCTGTTGAAATTGCTGAGTATCGAAAGTGAGTTCGAAAGGTAGTGTGGCTTCAGTAAACTGTCATTATTTCAGAGGGGGAAGAAATATAACATTCATTTCCGTTGTTAATTATATTATTTTCAATATCAGAAAAAACCCGTTATCTAAATAATAAACGCTGAGAATAACATGGAGTGTGAAGTAGAAGAGGTAACGAAAAAAGAAGGAGCATTGGGTGAATGAATATCTAAATAAACCAGAAATGTCTCCTGAATTCATCATCATTGATGCCATATTACACAAAAATGTCCAAGAATTCTTCATCACTCGAGCTTCAATCGTCATCGTCAACAATCGAATAAACTATGAAGGCTACAAGATCCGATTGTTCTTCCATGTTGAATATTATATTCCAAAATATATGTCAAGCAGCAGGCCAAATTATCTAGTTCAGATAAACAAGATACTATATATATATTGACAAATTTCACCAGCTGATCAACTGCTGCTGACAACTGATGAAAACCATGAAAACGTGTTCCGAATTACAGCACTGTATTTTTGATTTTATATTTCGGAACACATATTTTCAGCAGGGTCAGTGGATCAGGGGTGCGTTTTTCATTCCAACATTTTATCATGCGCATGAATCGAAGAAACCATCAAACTGTTGCAAAATTCCGCTGGAATGTTGATGGACATCCATCAAACTGTTGTAATAAAATGCGCACTTTTAAATCGCTTTTCGAGAATCCAGCAGTTTGGAGGAGATTGACATGACAGTTGACACATTTTAGTGTTGTTTTTTGTTTTGATTTGATAGAAAACAATTAATATTGAGGATTTTCAAGATTCTTGAGAGATTTTAGAAGAAAGAGTCAGTGTTAATCAATAAAGTCGAATTAGCCTTTTCTGATTCTCAAGATACATGATGACTGACACACAACAAAATCCGTGTTTCCATCAATGTGTTGTATAAACCATTGTCCAATCCTTCCAGCATAAATTCCAACAGAACAATTGGTGACGTCACGACAAAAAACCGCATCTATCAGTGCGCACTTTCTTCGATGGAATGAAAAACACGCCCTCTACTGACAGTACTGACCAGTTGAATTCGGAATATTGCCTTGGTTTCTTATCGAGGATGTTCAAATAATAACATAAGGAATAGGAGTTGTCAAGGAATCAGTCAATAATTGTGACATTGGATTTTTTAAATAGTTGTCATTAAATCATTATCTCTCCAATTGCAATCATAATTGTGTACTCTAAACTGCTATGGCGAGTGGAAATAAAATGGCAAATGGCATTTTGCGTACGTGGAACATATTAGAAGATCGACGGAACCAATGCGGAACCATTGCTCTCGCTAAACGCTGTTCTCGAGAGGTCGAGTACAATTTCTGGAACAAAAGCGCATCAGTAATTATTACACATATCTTACTTCCATCATTAGGTGCGTTCGGTTTAACAAAATCGGAGCCGAGCGAGCAGATGCAGATTTGGTGTCACGTGATCACCTAGCAGATAGAGCTAAAGATATTTAACGAACGCTCAACGAGGTAGTAGATTGCAGATTGCAGAA